AGATTGAGGTTTTTCCATATTCTGTATTTTACATGTTTTTTGAGCAATACCTCAACATATGGAGAACAGCATTGATCAATCTTGCCATCGCTATAGGTCAGTGATTAAGGACATTTCACGTGCATTGTCTAATATGTAGTGTAAAAGGCTACCATGCACTTCATGTTATACAACTTCGTCTTCCATGATTATGATAGCTAATTCTATGTGCTTCTGCTTTTTTAACGGGAAATAAGCTTAGAAGATCGTGTCCTAATATATATAGAGGACAAGTTATCCATTCTTGGAAAGATTACATGATTCCAAATTCCAATTATAAATTAAAGGGGAAAAAAATCAGAGCAGCTTCAAAAATATGAAAGATGTGGCGTGATTTCTCTGTCCAGAGATCCCCATTAAGTAGATCTTTCTTTTCCCTCATTCTTTCTTTTCTCTTCTTTTCATTTGAAGACCTTGTAAGGGCAGTTCTCGTTCCCTATAAAGATATGAAAGGCGTCTTGGTGGTTCTGAAAAGTATTGATTTTATTTTTTTGACTGTTTTTCAGGTGCAGTATTTATTGTGTGTCTAATCATCACATGCAGGTTAGTAATGATGTTTCTGTCATTGTAGTAGACAGATGTTGTTCTCTTCGTCAAATATGCTAACAAGACTTTCTCGTGATTGATTCTTTTGTTTTAGCTTATGGACCTCGGCTATCATTTTATTGGTGTTGGCAATGATTGTTGTGGATCTCTTGGTATTTCCTTTATTCCTAAGTATCTCTGGAACGCTTGTGATATAGACCAGTGGAGTTAATTTAATTCTTTTAATATAAATCATAATCTTACCCCCTGCTGACAAGATCATACTTCGCAGGGCGTGATGGCAATTTTGCATATCCAACTGAACGCAATCTCTGTTGTCAATCTTGTCATGTCTGTGGGAATTGCTGTTGAATTTTGTGTTCATTTGACACATGCTTTCTCGGTCAGTATCATTCTTTGTTGCATGATTTCTTCTTTTCATTGCTCTATTCTAACTGAATTCGGGCATAGTTACAATCTTTTCATAGGAAATTTCCTTTAATTGGGAAATAAAATCCATAATTCAGCGATAAGTATTGGAAATGATGTTCTAATTACAGGACGCTTTACATCACTTGCTAAACCTAAAATAGTGACTAGAGCCATAATTATCATCCCATTGCCACAAAGAACAACCTACAATCTTGGAAACATTTATTGACTTGCTTTTGTAATTTTGTTCTACACTTCTATCGCTATAGTCTCTGTGTTTGTTTTCACAGGTAAGCAGTGGGGATAAAGACCAACGCATGAAGGAGGCTCTTAGTACAATGGGAGCATCTGTTCTTAGGTGCCTTCTTCCTTCTCATATATTGGACCTATGCTTAGATATGAAATATTGGAAAATTAACCATGCCTAGTTACTACCTTTTTTGTCAAATTTATTTTCCAATTTGCTCACATTTATACTGGTGTTTGCAGTGGAATCACACTAACAAAGCTAGTCGGGGTCCTTGTACTTTGCTTCTCTAGGACTGAAGTTTTCGTGGTATCAATTTCACGTCTCTGAACTTCAATTTAATTAATCCGTACGCCAAGTCTATAATAGCTTCACTCTTTGTTCTGCAGGTTTATTATTTCAAAATGTACTTGGCATTAGTACTTCTTGGATTTTTGCATGGCCTCATATTCTTGCCGGTGAGTGTCTACATTGAATTTTTTACTCTGGTTGAACTATCATGGGTTATAATTTTGAATTCTCGTGATTCTGCTTTGTGTAAATCAACTTTGTTATGAGTTAGTGAAACCATCATGCGTTTGCAGGTTGTGTTGAGCATGTTCGGTCCACCATCAAGATGCGTGTTCATCGAGCAACAAGACAATCGCCCTTCTACTTCGTCTCGATGATGTATGGGTCCGTTTAGGCTTTTGAAGATTTGGCGCATTCATTGGCATGCATGCTTAAACGCTAATAAGAAGAGAAGATATATAGTATAGTAGCTTCTAACTTGTAAAGTGAAATTGGCATACCAATTACCAGGTAGTGTTAGTTATTTTATTTGTAGTTTGTCCAAGGTCTGTTTCCTTGTGTTCGGAAAATGACATTTAATATGACTGTTGTATCAGACAATTCTGATATCGTTAATTATCATGTGAAATGAATGAATATTCTTCTTGTAATTCTTGCAAATCCAACGCAGTTGAGCATGAATACATTTTTTGGAAGTGAAAAAGGGTGTTGGTCAATGGTTTTGAAAATAGTTTTCATTTTTTAGGATAAAGTTTACTTAAAACAAGTCTCTTTTTTTTCCCAAAATATATATATATATATATATATATATATTTTAAGTTAAAACAGTTGTGGGGGTTTGAACTAACTTATCTACTGAGCTGGTTAAGTTTATTAAAAATAATAATAAATAATAAACAAACTCGAAGGTTAAGGAGAATTATAAATTCATTTCTATGATTTGGTCTAATATACAAAGTTTATTAATTAATTTGATGAAAGGGGATTCTGTTACTTTATTTATAATCATAATGGGACATAATTATCAATGGGAACAAATGATTAAAAACAAACGTGTTTTCTATATTAAAAGACCATTTTAGCTTGCGTCAGTTTCAAAATATTCAAAATTCATTTTTTGATCTATTCGTATAATGAAATTATTATCAATATTTGTTGAAAAATTGTAGTCAAAATAGGATAAATTTATTCTGGTGGGACAAGGAATAAATCTGCATTTGTTTCAAAAAAAAAAAAAAGGGAATAAATCTGCCTAATAACATTAAATTGCTGCAAGACAAACCGTGGATATAATCGATTATTATATTTGCTTACCATTTTATTCCTTCTATAGAGAATATATTTTTGTGTAAAACATTAATAGGAATCAGATACAAACATTAATGGAGCAATCAAGATTTCCTTAAAAAAGAACCCAAAAACAAAATTAAAGCTATGTTTGAGAATGCTTCTTCCCCTAATTAATCAGGTTCAAAAGTAACGTAAAAATATTACCTAAAAAAATTAAAGTTAAAATGCTTATTGTAAAAGCAATTGAGTATATTTAACTTAAACGCTTGAATAAGATACACTTGAAAAACATTTTTAAGAGTCTTAAACAAAATATCATATTAATAAAATATTTATTAAACACGTTTTACTAAAATATTATAAGTGTTTTTTTGGATAAAAACTTAAAAAGATTACTTTTGGGCTCTAATGACCTAGAAGAATATAGAAAAACAATTCACATTTTTTAATAATAAAAATAGAGAGAATATCGAGATTCTTGAGAGAGGAATAAAATCGGAGGCTTAGCTGCTCTGCTACCCATTCCACCATACTTATGAACTGATTGCTTTGAATCCCAATTTTCAAACGAATGATTTCCATTGAATTTAAAAAGGCCAAAAACTATAAGCAATAATTAATAATTAATAATTGATGATTCTGTTGCCAACAGAGATGTTGACGTCAGAGCATATAAAATATTTGTTCCTTCAGAAAAGTCTTTCCCAGCTCAGCCACAATTATGTCACCCTCAACAAGTCAAATTTACATACAAAACCCAAAAGTCAAAAAAAAAAAAAAAAACCAAAATAAAAGCTATTTTTAAATTGCTAAGAGAGAGAAAAAGAGGAGAGAGAGAGAGAGAACTAATTTACATATCTGAGGTAGCATGCAACCCCAAAGGACACAGGCTTGGCTTTGCTTGCTTCTTAAACAGGCAAGAAAATGCCTCCAAGAGTTGTGTTGAGTGGACTTTCTTTCTTGTCTTCAAATTGAGAAAACATTTTTGCATGCTCTTATGGCTTCCCACCTGAAATCTAAACCAAGACTTTAAAAAAAATTGAGTCCTTTTTGGAATGGGGAAATCAAAAGCATTTGTGGCTCCTCCATAGTTTCTTGCAATGGAGTGTGGCCATTGCAAGTTCATGAGAAGCCACTGCTGGCGACATAGTTTTTCTTATGGCAACGAGACACCTGAAGCGAAAGTTTTATTGTTTGCATCCGAGACGATTTGTAAACATGAAAACACTCCTGCAGATCTGTATCACTTGTTAATAACACCCATTCAGATTCATCATCTAAGTACTTGAGATCAAATATACTCATGTCACTGATGCTAAACCGTCTTGCGATTTCATTAAGTAACTCTTCGTATCCCCAACCGTTATGCACTCGAAACCGGTATTTCTCTTCCCCGTAGCTGACTTTTACTCTCTGAACTTCGTTTGCTTCAGCTTTTCGTTCGCCTTCTTTTGCTGAGTGTATTAGACATTCAGTGGCAGGATGTTTGCAGAGAGATTTGCAGCTTTGGGATCTTCTTGGAACGTTGGGTCCTTCCATAGTTGAGACATGTAGCTCTACTTCACTTTTGACCCTCTTTAGCTCTCCATCACAAGGATTCTCTCCACCCATTTGATCTTCACTACCAACATCGTTCCAATGGGGAGGATTTTGAAGGCTCCGACTAGAAAAGCACTGGCTCGAACTCGAGCTCTGGCTGCACGAAGAGGATGGAGATTTTGATGCTGCAGCTTGAAGGTTGTTCATCCCAACTTCATTCTGATTGCTTGATGTTTTCACGCAGTCTCCCATCTTTGCACTTAGAAGTGTGCCTGAACCTGATAGATTTGGAGAGGCCAACTCCTGGAAGTTGGTATACAAGGAGCCAATTTGAAAAGCACCCGACGCACCTTCCACCGAGTCAATAACGAGTTGGAGTTTCTGCAACGAGTGACCGACCTTTTTTATCTTTCGAGAAGGCCAACGTTTAATTCCATGTTGTCGACATATCCTCTTCAAAGTTGTTGGACAAACTGAAATGGAAAGAAAATCGGTTAGGATGAACAGTAAGAATGTAACAAGTTCACAACTATCTGTCAAAATGATGGAATGTAATTTGCACTTATAGCAGACTGTACACTTGACTTCAAATGTTTTCTGTTTTCTGTTTCTGTTTTCCTTAAGAAACATGTTTGAAGGGGAAAAAATCCGTATTATTTGCACTAGAACTTAATCAGAGCAGACAGCAAGGAAATTCAGATAGCACTAATGTTATGGTACCTCCAATGCTCTTTGCAGCATCTTTTAAGCTTCCCGCGAAATATTGTCGAAGAACTTGTAAGGTGATAGTTTTGTCCACCTTGGTTCGCCTTCTCTCGCCTGTTCTTCCGATAACCATATCAGAAAAGCTACCATTAGTCATGGTTGTGCACTCTTCACTGTCCTCAACAACTCCATTCAGGTCGTAGCTTAATTCGTGATGCTGATAACCGGAGGAACTTAAGCCTTCCGTGGTTTTACCCTCATGGAATAATGAGACAGAACCACCACATTGTTGGATGTTTTGAACAGAAGAAGTTATCAATGAATTTGTTGGATGACTCATTTCTAACTGATGATGTTGTACCTTGGACATTTCCTGCATGCCCAATCGCCCATTTGCACTGACACCTGCATCTCTGAATGGCGAATTGCTTTCCTCCCCAAGCTTAACATCGGTAACAAGATGTAAACTTCTGCAAGATTGTTGCATTTTTTCCTCCCTACACTCCTCATCTGTAACAAGCCGCAAGCTCTGGCAAGATCTTTGTATAATTGTGGACAATGAAGTAAGCAACATTCTCTGCTTTTCAGGATCTCTACAATTTACAGGCAGGAAGAACTCTAGAACAAAGTCGGCTTTACTAATATGCATACTACGGAGGCGTATTGCGACTGCAGCATGTAATCCAAACAACTTGGCATGGTGAGAGAGAGGATATTCTGTGTTACAAAAGGATGTAATATCACTTGAGAAACACGGCTCGTTAGATTTAAATGCCATCCCAACAATGCCTTCGCCTCTTAGCAAATGATGCTCAGAGCATGCCTCGTGGAATTCCCGAATACATGGATCGGCCACATAGCAAGCCCGGTCTACCGTAGAAACACAACAAATGTAGTTCTCATCAGAATGCCTGCAACCCTCCATAGCTTGTTGGATACATGGTGCCCAAGTTTGTGCCAAAGGCAATCCATGCGTTTCACAAGCAGATTTCAAAGTGTCTTCAATCTGTAATAGTACAGCTTCATTGGACCTGTTAAATACCTGCTGATAGAGAGGATATACATATAACTTTTAAGCGGAAAAAAAAAAGCAGCAACTTTATTCTTCATTTTGAGAGGAAACAAAAATCTCAAGAGAGTATGATGTTCAAAAGAACAGTAGGAAAATAGTTGCATAATTCAACTGTGTCGACTGAAATTCATTCAATCACCTGTTTGTTGGGGTGCCCAATAACATCAGAGCTCCTAAGTTTTACTGCCTGCAGTCAAATAATTTTATCCAAATTCCAATCAGAAAGAAAGAATTCATGAATTAAACATCTTAAGCTTCCGCAAGTACTACACATAAACATCGATCTTAAAGCACGTATAGTAATTATAGACCGGAAGTTGGCTTCAATGTTTGGCTTCTAGATGCTACGATTCGAACTTCTGCCAGGTGTTATCTCTAAGACCCAATTCTTCTTCAGTGTCAAGGAAACGAAATTCACATAAACGAAATTCAAGCATTGACAGAGGAAATAACACTTCCTGTAAGTTTGTGAGTTCATGAGATATTAAGTTGGTTTTTACAGGTATGGTGCTCAAAACTAATGATATGCAATTCTGACAAACTCAAACCATGAGGCAAGTGTAACCAAAAAAGAAGCAGAAAATACGAAAGAGACTGACCTCAAGGGCTTTGCAAACATTTTCGAGTTCTGAACCATATTTTATCTGACGGGTAACCATGACAACTTCAATGACCCCTAAACAATTCCTGCCGCCTTGTTCAAAAATAGGAAGTGCTATAGTTCCACGTACATCATGCTCATAAGCATGATTGACTCTCGGATATTCGTCGCTTCTGAAGAATTGAACGTCCGGAGTCCACTCGGGAACCTTTCTTGAGAACACCCGACCAGGCAATCCCAAAGCTTTTTTAGAATCCTCATCAGCTGTGAATTCATATTTCACAGAGATGTCCCGGTATTTTGCAAGTCTTGTGCAGCTGGAATTCTGAGTGAATGGGAGGTCATTTGTGATGAGAAAACTTCTTCCCCCTCTATTTATAGGCACCCATACTTGTACAAGAACATCTTTGTCTCTTACGAAATCTTTGATATACCCGACCGCCCTGATTAGTCTCTCCATCACAGAAGATCCAGAACCAAGATGCTCCCCAGGTCCTATCCACAGTCTTCTGCACGATTCAGAACCTTCTAAAGCATTGTTTTCTGATCGACCAGAGCATCCCTCCTGCCCTCCATCAATATTTTCCCGACCCAAAAACGTCTCATCGGTCGAGATCTTCCTTGGTTCTTCTTGATTACTCCGCGTAATCTGGCCCATGTTGAAATCCCCATTTATCTCTATAGCAGGCCATCCAATTAAAGGGTCTAAGTTGACACCAAAACTTGAGGGACTATGATGAAGAAACTCCGTACCATCTGCTGTCTCTAACCAGCAACCATCCAAAAGCAGCCCATCCATATAGTCCAAATCCATGGCAGTATCAGCTGGAGCTTCCAACATTGTAGCTGGAGATAACATACTATCATCCATAAAAAAGAAAAAGAATCCCCAGAAAATCCCAAGCTCCGTAAGACCTCGTAGTACTGAATCAAATATAGTCTAAACCAATCCAATATCAGATACAAATCCGGAAGAAGAAATTCCAGCCCATCTAAGGAAGAAGAAGAACCAACCTGTTGAAAACAACAATGAAACATATTCAATATATTGAATATGAAATATGAAATAAGGCAGGTTCAGAGAACAAGTTAGCCACCGAAGGAGACTTTCTTCAAACACAAAGCAACCCACAGTCAAAAAGCTAAAACACAAAAGAGAGTAGGATTAAAATACAATCATGAAACAGTAGTTTCGTTTCAGAATCATATCTGTCAAAGTTGCACTGATCCTCCCACCGATAGTCAGACAAGACAACCAAACACAACACTGCCGGAAGCAGTCTGAGTCTGGTCTGAAAATAAAAATCCCAAAACGCAGAAGAAAGAAGGAGACTACAATACAATAGAGGAAGGAAAGAAAATAATAAAAGTGTAACTCACGAATTATAAAGATTCCAGCAGATTCCCAAGTGGGTATTTATTTCTGCACTGTTCCTGAAATGCCCACGAAGAAGAAGAAGAACAGGAACATGAACATGAACATGAACACGACAGAGTTTTGCAGAACGATCTTCTCAAAAGCTTGTGCCACCGCTGAAGTTTCTTTTGCAGCCTCAACCGGAAGCAATCGCAACGCAAGGTTCAGCCTCTCTCCTTGTTGTAACTCCTTTATTCAGTACGATTCCTATGCTGAAGATTCTCCCCGTCGAAGTTCGAGCACGACCCCACAGCCCCTTGCGTCCGCCTTTGGAATTCTCGCTGTAAAGTCAACTTGAACACTCCCATAGAGGCTGATGTGATGTGGGGGGTAAAAATACGATTGGTTTTCCCCCCTTTGAGATTAAACAATTCAATCTGCGAATGCCGAATGCTTACCATGATTAATTTATTTGGGTAAGCAGAATTATTAAATACAAAAGTATCCATCAGAATCAGAATCTTTCAAATCAGGGGATGAAAAACAATAAACTAATTACGAGCATTTGCAGGCTCCCCCCACTTCAGATTCTTCGGATTATCCACCACAAGAGAGAAATTGGAACTTCGACGAACTGCAGAAGATGGGCAGAATTTTTAATAGAACAGTTTGAGAAAAGGAAAAGAATTTTAAAAGACGATGACCCAATCGCTAGTTTTGTGCAACAAACCTGCAATTCTCAAGGCCCTGAAAGAGATGAAACGGAAAATTAAAGTTAATTTACTGGCATGTGCGGAAAACTGAGTGCATACGCATACGCTGCATCCAATGGACTTCCCACTAAGGAATTAAGAACAAATTTTTACTAAACACACAACATTATTAAGGCATTTGCCTTTTGTTTAATATGATATTAATAAGATTGAGATTCAGACGTCAGCCACACCCACCATTAAAAAATTCGCCATAAAGAAATCTAAAGAAACTTCATCAAAAGATGAGCTCATCACCCCATTTGCATTATAAAATTCAGTTCAAACTTGTTCTGACCTCTGCTCCATGTGGGTTTCTCTACAGCCGCTGACACGAGCTAATTCGTTCTTATATTCCTAATTATAACCCTCCATCGTATTCAGATCACTGGCCCATGTTTGTATTTCCACTTTCCCTTATGAATTTCCACATTTTATCTCAAATCTAACCAAAAATTCAGGCCTTCAATGGATCTCTGTTCTAAAACCATAAATTTCAACACAAATATCGAGGCTATGATTCTCTAGCTGTTTACCCAGATAAACAATTTAAATCGTAAATTCGATCTCTTAGCTTTTACCATTGTGTCAAATGAGTTCAAAATTACAAATAGCTTATTAAACACTTTTTAAAGCTGATAAATTCATTAAATCATCATAGTTTTTGACATCATAGCATTTATGGCTGAGATCCAATGTTTGAATGATGATGGTTTTTGATATTTTGAGGGTATTTTTAATTAGGAAAATAAGAAATGTCATAATCATAAAAAAGAGGTGGTGGTGGACATGATAATGTTGGATGTTTGTGGGGTTAAGTGGCTCCAAGGCCTCTCATTCTTGACCAGAAACAGAACACAACAACAGAATTTTGAAACGACCAAGGGTAAAACCGTAAATTCACATGGACTTTGCAGAGTCCCGTTTGAATTCCTATACACTGAAACACAGGAAGATTTGAAGTTCATTTGCTTCCACAGAAAATACTGGCCTGATGTCACCTTCCTTAAATGAAAGCCGTTTTTTTTTTCTTTTTTTCTTTTTTTTTTTCTGGTCCTTACAGCTTACATTACATATTGGAAAAGGTACAAAGGTACAACAAAAACTACCTATTGGGGGAAGCTTCAGAAAATAGTAGCCTCTATTTCTAGAGGGTGGGCCATGGTCCTATATTTTCGCCTTGATTATAATTTGGTTTTGTATAGTGTAAATGATTTTAATTAGTTTTTATGATTTGTATGGTTGCTTCTTACAAATCGGTATCATATTGAAAGTGAATTGGCATGTGATAATGAGTTGATGTTTTCTATTGAGTTAACTATGTCATTAGGATTGACAACATGAACTTGACGGTAAATGATATTTAGACCTTCTCTTAAGATTGCAGGTTCAAATCCACGTACCTTACATCTGTGGTAAAAAAAAGAATGCAACTAAGATTTAGGATTTAGTAAGAAATAAGAAGAAATAAGTTTTTTTCTAGAAGGAGAAAAATAATCTATATTTATAGGGTTTCACCAAAAAAGATCCGCTCAAGACTTTTTTTTTTTTATCTGTATTAATCAAATTGAAAATAACCTCAAATGATAGAGATGAAATTTGTGACTTGGTTTTAAATTTTGAATATTAATAAAAATGAAGTTAAAACTTAAGGGCTCGTTTGGTAAGGTTCCTGTTTCTTTATTTTTAAGGAAGAAAAATGTATTGTATGGTGGTTCCAACCTCTAAATAATTAAAGTACATGAAACAATCTTTTTATCATCGATTTAGTTCTTATTTTCTTTGGACTCAAAGTCCTCTTGATTTTTTTAACTTTCACCTCATTCAAACTTCAGTATATCAACTCTTCAACTATCTTATATCACATATTTAAAAACCAAAAAAAAAAAAACGTGACCTAATAAAGCTACCATCAAAATCAAATAACAGTAGAGATACTTTAGGCTTTTAAAATGGAAAAGTTTCTTTAAGACCTTAGATTTATACAACTACAAGGGCTGAGTTTTGGGACAAGGAAAAATTGGTTGGTCCCATTCCAACCAACCACTAATAATAAACGTAGCCAAATAATAATAATAATAATAATAATAAGCTCATTGACATATCATCAAATCAAAGAGAAGTATTTTTAGAAAAAGAAAAAGAAAATTATAATGTATTTGATTATTTAATTATATAAAGTAATAAAGCTAAGTTTGTGGTAATTTGCACGTCAAGAGAACTTGCGCGCTCACCCAAAATTGCATTTAAGAATATGGTAACATCCGATTGTGTCCTAATACATTAAATCTTTTATCACATCACTTTCAACCATCAAACTTTGAAAATTTTATATAGTATGTTTGGAATGAATTTTGAAAGTTTTAATTTTTTTGAATAGAAATTTTCTTTTTATAAATATTTTTAGAAGAATTATTCATTTAAAGTGGGTTTAGTTTAGCTTCCCGAGTAATTTAGGATGATGTTTGGTAATAAATAAAAAATATTTTTTTAAAATTTAGACATGTCTAAAATCATTTTCACTAATTTTCACTAATGTTAAAATCACTTTTATGTTAAAATAAATATATTTGACAAATTTCAAAATCATTTTAAGTGATTCTCCCAGTATTTTTTATGAAAAAAGATAAATAGAAAATTAGTTTTAAAACGGTTATTGTATTAAATTATAAATTCTTATAAAAAATTCAATTATGCCTTTCTATTTCACCTTATATCCAATTAAATTTTCTACTCCCTTTCTAGAAGTTTTATCTCTCTTTCTCATTCTCTAAGATCCTTGTTCTTCCTCTTTTAACTTTTTTCACCCCCTCAAAAGAAATAATAAAATAAAATAAAATTTTCTTCCCGTCAAATTTTCTCTTCAGAATACTTTTAGTGCATGAAAATCGCTTGAAAAATTATGTAATCAAACGATAAAATAAATTATTTTTACAAAATCAATTGGATATTTTTTTTTGCTAAAACCACTTATTCTAAAATGATTTTCAAAAACATCCTATCACTAAAAAAAAAAAGTGATTAGATTAAGTGTGACTATGGAGCCAAGCTATTTCTGAAGTCCAAAATTCCATTATTTGTGTGCGTGTTTTTTTCTTCTTTTTGCCTCGGATTTTATTTTATTTTTTTTCCTTTTCTATCCAACAATCCAATTTGAGCATAATTTGATAATTAAAATATTACTATCACCTCACCCTTGAAAAATTTCTTAAAACATTGTAGGATCGATTTGAATAGCCCTAGTATTCTAAAAATAATAATAATGTAAAACAATCAATAGCTAAACATAATCTTACGTCCAACCTTTCAACAATATAATTGTGCTAAACTAAGGAATTACATTTAAGAAAATCTACTATACTCGAAGGTTTACAAGTCCATGATTTGTAAAGATTAAAAGTTTCATAAGCCTACAATTTATACAACATGAATTTTTGTAGCCATGAAATGAAAAGAAACTCATAATTTGAAAAGAGCAAACCCACCTTCTAAACATAGACATGATTTCCTAACTCAAAGATACAACAATTTAACCTGCCTAAATTTCAATTTCTCGACATGAATGAAGGATAAAAACGCAATAGTCGAGATCTTACCATGTAATGTGTGAGATTGAAACACAAAAAAAAAAAAAAGAAAAAAAGAAAAAAAAAACAATAGAACCAACAATAACAATAGCTTTATTAGATTGACATATTTAAGTCAAACAGTCACATGAGAGACATGCAAATATCAAAACATGATATATAACAACAGCATGATTGATCATCTCAAATGGCTTTCCCCTTTCTGTATATAATTTACCATCTCTCTGACCAGAGAACAACACTCACAACTCAAATGCTTGGCCTCATGTTGAGATGAGATGCTAGCTTCTGACCAACAGACCTGTCCGCCTGTTCCAAAAAATACACAACCAAAACACCAATAAACATCGTAAGCAATTCTCCAAACAACTCGAGACAATAAATAAACCAGTCTTCCCCCTCCTCCCTGTCGTGGCTGTAGCCTGTAAGTTATATCGGAGACACGCACCTGAGACCAGTATGAAATCCAGATGCTGCGGATCTCGTGGGTGACACGGGCATCGGACAAAGCATTAACCCATCTGCGGATAAAGCGTTCTT